AAAAAAAAAAAAAAAAAAAAAAGATTTTTTCCTTAGATTGTGTGTACTTGCCAGAGAGAGAAACAGACACAGTGAGAGGGAAAGTGAGAACCCCACCCCCGCCCGAGGGGACAATTCTATAAAGTTGGTTTCACATTAGCCCGGAATCCCTGAGAAGTCAAAGGCTTCTTTGTTTTTTAATTGCCAGAGGGCACGCGTGCTCACCAGAGAGAGACAGAGAGACAGATGCAAGGGTAGAGAAAGCACCCTTAATGAGATGTGGTCATGCTGCAATCCCATCTCCATTTCTCCATCCTGTGGGGATTTGAGGCACGCACATACACATGCCTGGGCCGGGATTCGAATCGTGGTCAGCCTTGTGGGATCCGGCTCCCTTAACCATGGGGCTACTGGACTGACTCAGCGTGTTGATAGTGAAGGCTGCCCTTCACTGAGGGCCTTCTCTGCACTCTGCTCTGGGCCGTGTGGCACCAGCTCTGGCCCTGCGAGTTTGCTTTGCCAGGCCTCTTCTCCAGCCCTCTTCCGGTGAACGTGAGAGGAGAGCTGTGGACCTCAACACCATGCGTTCTTGCGTGCCCCCTGGCAAAGGGCAAGGCCAGCTGCCAGTTTTGCTCCATCCAAGTTTGTTTTATGAACTCGAGCAGAACACGTTCATCGTAAAATGGCACCAGTTCTTATCGCATGGGGCTTTGAACTCAGCAGGACCAAGCTATTGTAAATAGCCGAAGGCCATAACTTCAGAGGGGCCAAATGACAAAGGCTCTACTTGAGTGAAAGAGAAGCTGCAGGCCTTGCACTCCATGCCCGTTCCTCCACTGTCTGTTTGCCATCACCTAACACGGCACACATATGTGGTTTTTACCATCTGCCTTCCTCTGTGGGTTCTGAGTTCCTCAGGGCAGAAGTTTGGGCCTCCTGATTCCATCGGTGCTCCTAGAACAGAGCCTGGCCCCAGGAGACCCTCAATGAGCACCTGTCAGATTAACGAAGGAACTTTTGGGGTGCTTCCAGAAAGATATTCTGAAACTGAAACATTCACAAGGGGCTCGAATCTTGGCCTGAGGGGGGAGAAGAGCACGTGTCACGGAACACCATGGAGCAGGCTTTGAACACCGTGGAGCGGGCTTTGAATGCCATGGAGGAGGCTTTGAATGCCATGGAGGGGGCTTTGAATGCCGTGGAATAGCATTGTGGCTGTTGCTACTTCAGCACTGGGACGGCTTTGACCGTATAGCTCCCCCCTCTTTTCTCCAGGGCAATTGAGGCCTGGTTTTGGGCTTCCTTGTGTGAGTGGGCTGGGGGTGCGGGCCAATTCAGGGAGACACCAAATAACCTAAGAACTGCCCAAAGAGATGCTTGTGGAGCCTGGGTTTGCTCAGACCCGGCCTCAGACCCTTGCAGGGAGGGAGGGTGCACAGAGAAATGTTCCTGGGGGCCACCTCGTGTGGGGGAGTGGAAGCACTCTCTCTGCCCTGACCTTTCCTCTGCTTCTGAGAGATTGCAGGGACCCCAGCTTGCCCAGTGAGGCAGAGGGCCTGTGTGTGTGTGTGTGTGTGTCCAGGTGTGTGTGAAGCTCCGCTCACCGCTCACCCCTCACCCCTCAGTGTGTTGCGACACACACTCAGCAAAGTGGTACAGATCTGATCCCAGAGCGTGAAGCCCAGACACCCCCCTATTCCCCGGCCCCCTCTGGGATTCCAGGGATGGGACGGGGCCTTCTCCAGGGTGAGACTTGCTTTGCAGGCTGCATTGATCTCAGGCTGCTTTGGACATGCGCGTACGCACACACACACACACACACACACACACACACACACACATCCTAAGCCACAGCTGCTCTGGACCCTCATGCCCCATCTGCAGCTGCAGCCGGCACTCCTGCCCCAGGGATCCCTCCCACCACCAGCCTGGAAGGAAACCCCTGGCCTCTATCTCTGCTGTCCCCAACTTGCTCATCATGGGGACAGAATCCCAGAGGTCAGGGTTACAAGGCGTTCACTCTTCAAGTGGGAGAACAGTCCCAGAGGTAGGTGTGCCTTGTCCCAGGTCCCACAGACAGGCAGGGGCGGAGCTGGAGGCCAGGTCCGGCAGCCTGGACCGCAGCCCAGTCCTTTCCATCCCTCCGCCGCCTCTCTGGGGTTACCCAAAGCAGTGCATCTAAAGGCAGAACTCTGAGGGGCAGGAGGGCAGAGGACAGGTCAGTGCTGATGGAGGCAGGGAATGTGGGGCCCGCCCCACCCCGCTTCCCCTCAGCCTGGGGCCCCAGGGGTACTCACAGCTCTCAGCCAGGAGAAAGCTGCCGCACTCCTGGGAGTGGCTGCCAGACGGGTCTGTCATGTTGACTCTGAAGAGGTCGTCAGCCATGAAGCGGGACACATCCATGTGGCACGTGTACTTAGCATGGGTGGCGTTGTGAGCGGACCTGTGCAGGCTGCAGGAGGTGACCACGTCCCCCAGGTCTCCATTCTCGTCCTCCCTTCAGGGACAGAGCAGCCAGTCACGGCTGGCAGCCAGGGGAGCTTTCTCAGGAGAAGCCCAGAGTCTTGGGGCCAGGAGGGATTTGAGATGGGGCTAGGGTCACCAGGTTCAAACAGCCCTTCCCCAGGGATGGTATCCCCTCCCCTGCAGATCCCTGATGCTCAGCCTTGACTTGCACCCCTCCAAGGGACCAGGGACTCACTCCCTACTGTAGGGGCCCCGGCTCTCTACTTGGGACATTTGAATCTTCTCTTTTTGCTATAGGACCCATGTGGTTGTTAGCAAGAGCGTCACAGAGAGACAGAGAAAGTAAGAAATCAATCCCTTCTCCTCCATCCTCCTCTTAGGAGTTCAGCATGCACACACACATTCACCCAGTGTGTTTCTCAAGCCACCGGATCTGGGACTCAGACTGTGCAGTTGACCATGTGGGATCCAGCTAATAGAGACCCAAGGATTTGGGGGTTGGGAGGCTTCAGTTTGAATCTCAGCTCCCCATTTCCTGGCTGTGTGATATTGGCAAGTTCTCATTGGGAGAGCGGGAGTACTCATTCATGTGAAACACACAGCAGGGCCCTGGGGTCCAAGTGCTTGAAAACTCACGTGGGCCTGTATGGAAAACAGAATGGGAGCTGGCAGGGCGGCCCTGTGGCCTCCTCACCATGAGCCTCACGTGGCTGTCTGTAAGGAGGGCACGGTGCCTCCCAGCTCAGTCTTTGTCAGGTGACATCACTAAGCACGTCGCCAGGAAATAGCCTTTCGACTTCTAAGCTCCTGACCAGAAGCACAGTCCATGGCCTCTTGAGGTCCTGCCCCATCCCAGCCATCCCGGGGCTGGTGAGGCCTGGCCACTTACCATGCGAGGGTGAGTGTTCTGGGGTGGGTGGTCCACGTCTCCAGGATGCAGGTAATGGTCTGCAGGTAATCGGTGTAGCAGACGAGGTCTGTGCAGCCCCAGCCTGGAGGGTCGGGGGCAGAGAGGCTTTGATGGGGCCTTGGCCATAGGCTGTAGAGCCCCCTCACCCCATCATAGGCTAGAGGGTGAGCAGGGGCAGAGGTCTCAGGGCTGGAATGAATACGGGGACCCAGGAGTTGCTAAGATGCAGGCTCAGGGTACAGGGGTCCACACTGCCTGGTGATTTCTTTTCTTTTTTTTTTCTTTTCTTTTTTTTTTTTTTTTGGAGAGGTTTTCACTATAGGGCGCGTGCGCTTGCCAGACAGACAGAGAGAGACAGAGAGACAGAAAGCGAGAAATCATCCCCCAGAGGGGATGGCCACACCGCAATCCCTTCTCCTCCATTCTCCTCTCAGGAGCTTGAGCACGCACGCACACGCGTCCGGCGTGAACCATGGTCGACTACATGGGAGTCCAGCGACATAGCCAATACGCTAACTGCTGGTCCCTCTGGTAATTTCTTGATTGAGTCTCCAAGCTTCAAGGCTGGCTATGGAGACGAGACACCCCAATGTGAACTCTAATAACAAAGCTGGTGCCCACCTCAGCACCCTCCCTGAGGCCTACGCCCACCACCCAGTCAGCGTCCCTCCTGGCAGCCTCCCCCTTGAGGTGGCATGTCTGGAACCCCTGCACAGGGCCAGCCGAACCAGCACAAACCTACACATACCACGAGAGGGTCAGAGCCTCACGCGGTTGGTGAAAGTGATGCCCTGACAAGGAGGGACCCTCAGCTTGATGGCAGCTGGCCTGACAGGACATGGGCCCTCGGAGCTGTGGGGAGGGCCTCAGGCACTAAGAAAAGCGAGAAGCCAGCAGATTCTTGTACGAAACTGTCTAGTATCTACTGCTTAAAATGGTAGCACCCTTGCCAGCAGGGAGCAATAAACACACGCCCTACCAGGCAGTTCTGTTAGAAGAGTCGAGACCCTCCCACCTCCTAAACATGCACTGTGTTCTAAAAATAGGTGCAGTCGGCATCTAAAGGTTGTGAAACACTTGGCAAAATAAACCTAATAAGTTTTAGTTTTTGTTTTAGAAAATCAAATGCCAATCCCACTACTTTGTCCTCACTCTTT